CATTGTGGAGTTTGCATGTTCTCCTCATGTCATTGTGGAGTTTGCATGTTCTCCTCCTGTCATTGTGGAGTTTGCATGTTCTCCTCATGTCATTGTGGAGTTTTCTGGGGGTCCTCTGGTTCTCCTCCTCCATGGTCCAGAAACACGCCAATGTGAATTGGAGTTGCCAAATAGTCTGTAGGGTGTGAATCATGTGTTGGTGTCCTGTTCTGGTTTTTTTCCTGCCATATGGTTATAAATTTCGGGGTAGGCTCTGGACCTGCAGGTATAGAAGATGAGTCTTGAATACTTTTGAATTTTAATTTACTGTTTTTTTTTTCATACCACTAGATGGCAGCAAAGTTTTGATTAGAATCTTAATGCTTTTAATATCAAACTTTACCCTGAGCTGAATTGTAGTACAGTGGCACTGTGTGGCTGACCGCCCTCATGCTGATCACTGGGTGTTCCTGTGTGCTGCCCAGAGAGCCGCGTGGCGTCCGGGGGCCCCAGTCTGCTCGCCATCCTGCTGGGGCTGGGCTGCGTGGCGGCCCTCCTCCTGCCCACGCTTGGGGAGCTGGACTCCATTGTGCCTGTCTACCTCCACTTGAGTGTCAACAAGAAACTTGTTGCTGCCTACGTTCTGGGTGAGCAGGAAGGAAATCGATGCCTCTTGGCATCTGCATATATTAATTAGATTTTCTATTCTATATACCCATTCAAACAGCTGGATATTGTAACTGAGACATTATGTGCAAGGAGCTATCAGGTACAATAGCAAAACCAGCAAAACCAGCAAAACCTTGGACATAAACAAGCAAACTGTTCTGTGTAATCGCAGCTCTTCTGGTTCCCACAAGTTTGTTTTCTTTTACAGTAATTCAGGAAATTTTTCTCTTCACTGCCACGCAGGTCTCCTCACGATGGTGATTCTGCGGCCATGAACCGGTGCCCTACAGAGAAACAAAGACACGGAGGGGACGACTGGGGAAGAGCAGACACACACACGTACACGCGGCCCTCGTGTGTCAATGAAGGAGAGGCTGTGCAGGAATCCCTGCCCCCAGCCAACAGGACAATGTCTCAGTATAAACACTACACCCAGAGACACATTGAGGACGAGAATCCCATCATGCACTGGGCTTTATTTATTGGGCCTATAATGGACAGAGAGCACAAGTGACAGAACTGGGGGGAGCAGGTGTGTAGGTTGACTAAAGGCACAGGGAGACCTTTATTAAAAGCTCTGTTTGACCTAACGCCCTTTGTCCTGGTATCTGTGTGTGCGTCTGTGTGTGCGCACCTGCTGTCAAAACCACCTGTGTCTTGTTCTCTTCCTGTCACAATCTTCCATGTTGAGATGACACCTGCAACGCCCATTTCATTGCTGCCTGGTTTATGCTCGTTAGGTTTGACAGGGATTATGGCATTAATTTTCCACGCTGTCAGTTAGCAATGGGGGAGGGGAGGGGGGGGGGGAGACTGTGCTTTCGGCATCATGTGCTGTCAGTTAGAACCCGTGACCTAGCGGTCATTCCATCTTCACCACATCTCTACGGTCTGGGGGTCTGCAACATCAACATCACAAGGATTCAGGAGATGGCCCTGCTAGTGTAAAAGTGCAGTGCTTTTCTCAAATTACCTTACTGAGGTCACTGAGCAAATGAGTATACAAAGGATATACTGCGAGACAACTGATCAGTGAAACGACTGAAAACACCTGGGTGAGTATAATTCATATCCTCCCAGTGGTGTGTGTGGCTGCTCTACATCCATGCGTTTTCTACGACTATGAGAAAAATAATCAATGAATACGTGCTGGGTCTGCAAAGATGCAAATTGTCGGAAATTCTTTAGAAGGCTTCGGTTGTGATTAAGGAACCTCATTGCTATGGAGACGCAGTGTCAGGTTCAGACGAGGTGAACCGTGTGCTTCGGCTATGTTGGAAGGTCTCAGCTTTTAGCAGGTGTCACTATGGAAACACTTTGTCATAAGTTTGTAAAAATATATCCAAGCGATGTCTTTCAGTATTTCGTTTCAGACTGTCAAAAAACTGACTGCCACAGCCTGGATAGCCATTAGAGTGCAAAAATGTAGAATGTTAAAAATGTTTTCTTTCAGCTTCTGCATGTGTGAGGCACATACATTCATTACAATCCAGACTTAATACACACACACACACACACACACACTATATGGACAAAAGTATGACACTTGGCCATTACACCTACAGGAACTATTATGACGTCCCATTCTAAATCCATAGCATCAATATGGAGTTGGTCTCCCCTTTTCAGCTATAACAGCTGCCACTCTTCTGGGAAGGCCTTACACAAGATTTTGGTGTGCGGATCTAGGAATTTTTGCCCATTCTTCCAGAAGAGCACTTGTAAATTCAGGCACTGATGTTGGACGTGAAGGCCTGGCTCGCGATCTCCGTTCTAATTCATCCCAAAGGTGTTTGATGGGGTTGAGGTCAGAGCTCTGTGTGGGCCTTCCCCAAACTTCTCCCACAAAGTTGGAAGCATAGAATTGTCCAAAATGTCTGGGTGTGCTGTAGCATTAAGGGTTCCTTTCACTGGAACTGAGGGGCCAAGCCCAACCCCTGAGAAACAACCCCATACCATTATCCCTCCTCCACCAAACTTTACAGTTGGCACAATGCAGTCAGGCAGGTAACGTTCTCCTGGAGATTACCAATCCCAGACTCGGCATGACACTTGACATTGCACTTGGTGATGTGAGACTTGCATGCAGCTGCTTGTCATGGAAGACATTTCACAAACTGATTTATTGCAAAGGCGGCATCCTATGACTGTACTGTGCTTGAATTCACTGAGCTCTTCAGAATGACCCATTCTTTCTCAAATGTTTGTAAACCTGACTGCATGGCTGGGTACTTGATTCTATACACCTGTGGCAATGGGTCTGAATGAAACACCTGGGGATTTGGGGAAGGAGCCTGTAACTCACGGCAGATCAGTCCTGCCTCAGGCACAGTTACACTTTTTAATTTTGGATTCTGGGGTCAACGACAATCTACGATCAGCATTGTTTTTATTCATTTAGCAGCCACTTTTATCCAGAGAGACACAGGCTTCGTTTCCGACAGCAGGCTCAGACAGTTTCTCGGGTAACTGGGAGTTAAGGACTTGGAATCAGGAGCCCAATAGTAAATCCACTCTGCCAACCTTGGGATTTGAATCTGTGACCTTCCAATGACAGGCACCGCATTCTAATTAGCTGAGCTATGTACCACCCTCGGAATCTGCAGGCTGCTGTTGCAAATCACACCATGCAATGCATGGGAGAGGCATGTAGACAGGTAGTGAAATTATAGATTTGAACAGCCCCTCCCCGATCAGCAAAATCTACCGATGGTGGACCCCCCCCCCCATAAATCAGTCAAGTTATCTTTCCAACTCCAGAACGAAAACTAGAACCTGCCCCTCTGATCTTCCAAATTGAGTCTAGTCTCCTATATTTTTTATGGAATATTTTTTAGAAGATGCCGATCGTTCGTCTTCCATTTCTGCTGTTAAGCTCTTTCAAGTAATTCCGTATCTTGGTCACCAGCACCTCCCAGGCCCAAAAGCTGGCCATTGAAGCTTTAATCCCTTTCAACTGCTCCATCTGCTGGCTGTGTTTGGCGTCAGAGACCCCACTACACATAACCCGATATAGTTACGGCCGTGCGAAAGCAGTAACTTACTCCCTTGTAAATGGACCCCACGTTTCCAGCCCCCAGCTTGTCCACCTTTAAAAGCCCAGCGATAAATTTCAGAGTAAAGAAACATTGCGCAGAAGCATATAATCATGTTGCCATTACATCTCACTACAATTGTCTGACATCACATTGACCAAAGGATTAATAAAATAAGTGCTAATATACTAATCCTTAAGTTAACATGTGAGCGATTAACCTGTATCTGACCCTAAGGAGCGAAAGAATATACCGATAATAAACGGATTCTATATTTATTTCATCCATCCATCCATATAACCACTTATCCTGGTCAGGGTCCCAGAAGGGCTTGGAGCCTGACCAAGCAGCACAGGGCACAAGGCTGGGGTGCATGCAGAACAGTCTACATCAGGGCAAAAACACACATACACTTACACATCATCCATTTTACCAAAATGCACCTCCTGAGCCAGCCACTCATGTAACGGGAAGAACGTGCAAGCACAAAATGTAACGCTGCTCATCTTAAAAACTGCTTAGGGACAGATATGCGGTGAAGGGTGCGATACAAAAGTCACTCAATTTAAAACAAATGCTCTTCAAGATGAAAATCCTCTCCATCTTAAATTTTACCAGGAGAAATTCAGTTGTTCCCAAATGATTAATTAACCTTCCTCATCATCCTGCATCCATAATGCATAAGTACAGGTCCCTCACCTTACAAACTCAAGCTACTCAGCATTGCACTCTTGCACATAAAACCAGGCCAGTAGAGTGGTGCATAAACTCGTTGTTCCTTGTCATCCTATATTTCTAACCCTACTCCCATCTGCAGGTAGTTGAAAGTTGCCACCACAGTTTATGTTTTTAATGTGATATCTAATCATATCTCAGGCTCAGAGATGCAATTTAAGCTCGCAGGCAGGAATTCAGTTACATGACGTTTCAAAAATAACTTCAAGCACTGTACAGCAAATAATTTATTTTCTTTAAATCTAAAGTCACATACATTATGAGGCTCTGGGGGGGGGCAGCTCCAGTGGATTGCAAATACTGGAGTCCTGACAATACACAGGCAATAAGTATATTAAACTGAGGAAACACCATGGACAAATGAAGTGACATTCCACAGGACCAAAAAGAAGACTGTCAAAGACGCCACTGACGTATTTACTTAAAGTGTTAAAAGAAAGGAAAACTGTACAAAACACCTCCCAGTCCCCACTTAAAAAAAAAGATCCACTCAACTTTGTCACTCAAAATGAATAGTTTGATTTACTTGACATTACATGCCTTGTTTACAGAAAATAAAATGCTTTTTATAAAACTTCCAAAACTATTACAAAAAACAAAACCAAACAAAATAGATAAACATTGGTAATTTTTGCACAAGCTGTACAGACACAGTTCTTCAATGGCACAAAACATCATGTGATCCACAAATTAAAAAGAATGGCATTAAATCATCCTGGGAGTAAAATAAAATAAAAAAAGAAAAAAAAAAAAAAAGCTTTTTTTTCCCCATAACAGAGGTATGTCTCCCTGGGTGAAGTTCGGTTACTTTAAATTAGCATTTCCCACTGAAAGTCCATGTTTTTGCACCCTTCCGGGGGACTGGCTGACAGGGAGCTCGGAGGGAGCAAAAACGGGGACAGGCTGTGGGTCCCCAAGGACCGGATTGGGAAACACTGCTTTGGACAGCTGGACTGACCCACTGGACACTGTTACACACGTTAGTAGCACTGACGAGGATGAGGCACAGTGTGGGCGGCCACAGTACACACAAGCATACATGGAGACACACGGAAGCCCAGTCTGCCCAGTGGGGGGTGCCACTGAGCCCACTTCAGGTCTCATTTACAGTGACCGCATTCCAAATAGATGCATCATCACTTTAATCTAGCAGCAAAACTGGCTGTAGCCTTTTGCAAACACGTCGCAATCAGTTTGTTTACAAGGCTCAAACTCCCCCCCCCCCCCCCCTCCAAAAATCTTCACATCATTTTAGCACCCCCTCGCACAGGGCAGTTCAAGTAGGAGCAGACCACCTTTTCAGATCCCGGTAACTTGACAAGCACTAAAACAAAGTATAGTTTTTTTTTCTTTTTCACCTTAGTGTCCAGTGCCCATGAGGGTGGGGAGAATAGCCATAAACGGGAAAGGGTGAGAAAACAGACCACCCAGCACAGGGGTCTGCGTGCAGCATTGTCTGGTCTCTTGTTAATTTTCAACAAGGTATTTTAAAGCAGGAAGTCTGTTTATGGTCCTTCCCAGAGTGGTCTAGGAAGCACAGCAGCAAGGTGACCTCGGACATCTCCCAGGACAAACCCTGCGGTCTTCATCTGCTCCACAGCCTACGGTGATATCTACACATTTACAGAGCACAAGCAGGGGGGGGGGGGGTAAGGAGCCAATCACGGGTTTGTACAGCACAGAGCGGTAATATCACTGGGACGCATCAGCCATTCTCAATCCACCTTGTGTGTTTTGTGTGCGTTTGTGTGTGGGGGGTACTCCGGATGCTGTGTCAAGTTCCATTTCTGGCTGGGGGGGCCACAACACCAGGGTGTTGGAGAGGTAGGACAGGGTTAACCCCGTGTAGGAAAATCCACATTTAGCAGCTGGTGTCAACACTCGTCCTACAGCACGCCCCGCTGTCACGTCACCAGCAAGACGACGGAGAGTCCAGATCCACAGCAGAAAGCAGGTGAAAGAGACACACAATGTTCAGGTGCTATAGCTTTACTCTCCGTTGATGGAATGCAAAGATTTTTCCTGAAGCCAGTCCCGTACGTGAACGCTTAACAATTATGTTCCAAAATAAAGTTCTCATCGATAGATGGGAAAGCGGCTGGTGCTGATCGCCACATCCAGGACCCGGGTGAAGGTCTTCACAAAGCTGCCCTGCTTTCCTCCCACCGCTCTCACTTGGGCGAGAGGTCCTGAAGCAGGCTGAGGGGGGAGTTGCCGGGCGATGGGGACACCCCCTCCATCTTGGCTGGGGATCCCGAGGAGGAGCCCAGGCTGCTGAGGCTCCCGTCCAGCAGGTCGGAGGACAGGCTGAGAGAAGCGGGAATGTGGTCTCTCAGCGTCTACCATGTCGGAGCATTCAGGAGCGACCGTCAGTGGCTTCCGGAAGGGCCTACTCACCAGGGGGCCAGGTCGGAGAGGTGCGGCGCCTCGGGAGTCAGCATAGTGGTGGAGCCCTGGAACAGCCTCTTGGGCTGGCTCTCCATCTCCATCTCCACCTCACCTACACCCAGAGGCATGTTCAAGCACCACTAAACAGGCAGCCCCCTCAATTACTTCTCAAATGACACGAACGCAAGGGGCCAACATACATTACAGGCTACAATCCAGGGCTATTTATATCACTGTCCTCAAGGTCTGAGCACTGCTGATTTTCCAGCCTTCCTTTGCCTGTGGGCCGGATATGAAGCCTCTGACCAATCAGAATCAGTCATTATTAAAACTACCTGGGAGAACTGAAAACAAGGCCTGGACTTGGAACTAAGGTCCAGATTTGAAGAGCCCTGCTACAGTCATTCTGTTATCCATGCATACAACTGCTCTGCTTGCCTTGGACAGAGTCATTGGTGGGGGGCTTGGGGACTGCAGCACGAGGCTGGGGGTTTGGGACAGAATGCGAGTCCAGCACAGGAACCACATACATTTATACACTACAGGCATCTTAGAGACACTGATCAACCTGCATGCCTTTGTGCTAAAGGTGGACAATGGTGCAGCAACAGGGATTCCAGATAACAGGGGAGACATGCAAACACACACATCCAGAGAGGGGGCGAAATACCAGCCACAACAGTGCTGGCGACTATGCAAACCCACCCAATAATAATAATAATATAACACATTAATATAACAATTAATACATAGGAAACCATCCCTACAGTAATTACAGGAATTAATCTTTTACCATAGCCATGGGCATAAATTATGGGGGGATGGGGGGGCGTTGTAATAATCAAAACCAGTCAATACAACCCCCTGGACCCCCCCAAAAACTCAACCCAAGTTATGCTATAGAAAGTCTTGAATTCTGATGCTGAAATTTCAGTTCAGGTAATAATTCCACCCACAAAATGTTTTTCATCAAACATTGTATGTGTAAAAAAAATTACCTCAGCACAGCACTTTCCAAAGAATATCAAATATAAATAGCGTGCCTTGGGTGGGTCAAACACGTTTGGTATACGCAGTGCAGGTATACGTACTCGCAGTGCAGGTATACGTACTCGCAGTGCAGGTATACGTACTCGCAGTGCAGGTATACGTACTCGCAGTGCAGGGCAAAGATGTTTACAAGCATTCATTCTGTTCTATGCTCCCATTTCATTGTGTTTGCATATTCAACCTTTTATTTACTTCAGTTTGGGTTATTCCATATCAAATGACTCTCTCAGATTCCCCAAAAAAAAAATCACAGGTGCCCTATACCAAACTTACGGAGAAATACCACATATTAGGTTTGTATCTCTAAGTTTTGAAACTACAGCTCTTTGAATTGTTAATTAATTTAATGCATTTTTGGTCCAACTTCTGACATTCACAGCTCCTCTGATAAGGCATGCACAGCTCTGAATCTGTGTCTAGTATTAACTTTTTCTCTAGATTTCAAAAATGTTCTTTCACTCATCTACTGAAGATCTGTAGTGAGCGGTTTAGGCTGGACTGGAAATGTTTTCTCATTTAAAATAACAGATTTCGGGTCGCTTTTCGTGTGCAGATGAATGTAAATCGAGAATAGGATGCAAGGCACTGAAGCAGGGCAGCACAATCACCTGATATTTGATAAACATGTGGCACGATGTTTTTCCCCCTATGGAGGAGGATTCCCGGCCCCCACTCACCTCGCCGCTTGATTGGCCCCAGGATGCTGGGGCGAATGCAGTTGATGGGGCTCTGGCTCCTCCTACTGCATACAGTCAGAGTCAAAGGATCCAAAGGGGAAGAGGAACAAAGCAGGAAGTGACCTTGAGTCACACAATGCCATTTAACACGATGCCCCACTCCGACTGCGGCCAAGCAGAGGGTCACAGGCCCAGCACACGCAGCGCAGAGGCTCACCTAAAGCGTCGCGTTGGGCTGGGCACAGGGCTGGGCCCGCTGCTGCTCACCAGGATTTGCAGGGACGGGGAGAAGCATTGCTGTGGGACACAGGAGACGACAACAGGGGACTTCAGTATCACCCGGAGCCAGAAGCGGCACTAATGCTACAGCCCTTAAAAATGCAGATACGAGACAGCAGGAAGCACAGCGAAGGTCTCAGGGCAGATCTGGGAAGACTGAACATGGTGATCAACCACCAACACCACAGCTACAGTAGCCTCAGTTAGCAAAGGCCCGATAACCCTGAATGGACCAATCACCATGCTAGAAAATAAATATAGCCTGCAAGGCAGATTTAGAGAGGACAGTTATGGGTAGGCTTCCTTTTGTGTGAGGAAAACAGAGCTAATTATCATCAATTACCATCTATATCTGCAATGACATGAACTGCCTGCCAGCTAAACGTTTGAATTACAGCAAATTATATAAACGAAACACCCCATGTTTGTCGGAGCAGGAAACGGCCATCAGCTGACCGTCCCTTACCTTTTTTCCGAGTCCCCTAGTTGGGGACGGTGCCGGTGACACCGGCACAAAGTCAATCCGCTTCGGGGAGGACGAGGAGGACTTGTCAAAGTCGTTATCACTCTGACAGGTTCAAAACAGAATGATTACACAACAGTGCAAATGCTCACAGAGGGCCAGGACTCCACGTTCTAACCCTGAAGTTCAACCAGCCAACCAAAGGGGTTGATTCAAGCCAATCTAACTGACCAATCAGCCGTCTAGTTTCGTCTGTGTCGGATGGACACACTACCGACTCAGTCTGGACTTGAGACTGGCGGCCCAAGTGCCTCCCTGTTGTTTTTGTGTAGCATGTGGGCGCATCAGCCACGCTCTCTACAGGCGAGAAAGAGGTGGACGTCTGCCATGTCAGCGGCCGCATGCAGAGGGTACGGGCAACGCAAAGCAGAGCAAGGCTGAAATTAATATGCCAGCTGTCTGTATGGGTCAGCTCTGCTGGAAAGAGGATGTCAGGCAGGAAGGACGGGGGCGGGGGGCAGGAAAGCAGTGACCTTCCATTTCAACAACCGAACCAGAGATTTGTAAAAGAACATTTAGACACATCAAGTTGTTGAAAGAATTATGGTTTTCTCAATAACATTTTAAAACAAATGTTATGCTTGTGCCATTATAAGCGCTATTTGATATCACACAAATAACTTGTTACAGTGTTACGATGTTACTAAACCATAATGTTACTTGGTGTGATTTTAGGCATACATTTCTCTTGCCAAACCAGAATCTAAACTCAGGAGTGACTGACTCGTGGTGCCCGGTTGGAGTCTCACATACCAAACTGAGACTCTCCTCCCAGGAGTGACTCATCTGCATGGCAGTCTGCACCTCCCTAGGAAAGAGCAGGAGATGCAGACGTAGGTTTACAGCGCCGCGTGAACAGGGCACGTTTGCCCAAAACAGCGACGCTCACTACACCCGCGACAATCCCGTTTGCTTCTACCAAACTCCACACACTAATATCACCGTGCAGAAGATACGAGCACAAGCACCCCCGCGGTATCTTCTGCGCAGTGTTCGGTGTGCGGCTGCTCACTGCGACCGTGACCCCGCTCCGCATGTAAGGAAACCGCATCTCGCTCACCGCTCGTGGGCCGTCTCCCTGTTCATCACGTCCACACCTTCCTCCTGTGGGGGACACACAGAGGGAGGATGTCAGCCTGGCCTCCAGCACACGATTCCTGGCAGGCAGACGCTGCTCCGGGACAATAACAGACCCCTGGGCTCTGACTGCAGCTCGTTGCCGGACAGAGGTGGACATTTCAGGTCCAGAAAGTAAAAATCCAAACCAGGATTTCATTTCAACCAACCTACTGAGTATAAAGATTCACAGCCATATAGTACTCAACTGGTTGGTTGAAACAAAATCCTGGTTTGGATTTTTACTTTCTGGACCTGAAATATCCACCTCTGTTGCCGGATTAGGTAGGAAAGACGCTTCCACCACATCTACACCATCTACTTTACACATTACTGTCCGTTTCTTAAAACCAGTCACAAACATACTACTCAAGGCACAAATTTTAACGATTTCTTAGACCAGCGTTTCCCAATCCAGTCCTTGGGGACCCACAGTCGGTCCACGTTTTTGCTCCCTCCCAGCTCCCTGCCAAACAGTCCACATTTTTGCTAACGTGGACTGTCTGTGGATCCCCGAGGACCGGACTGGGACACACTGTCTTAGACCAAAACAGTCCCAAAGGATACAAATGCCTCACATTTTTATTCTTTTACAGCAGGTAAGCAAACCCAGGGTTAGACTAAACAGGTGCTGTACTTAATCTTTATGGTAGTTACTGCACACAGTCATATACCCACATGGCCAATCGCCTGGGGAATTCTGGGGGTTCTGCTGAGTAAGAGCTTCAATTAGGCAGCTAATTAAATTAGTTTAGGATCCAAAGTTACACGTCATTCAAACCCAAACATGTATTGTAGCAGAACACACATGTGTCATTTACTCTGAAAACCTCATAATCCCCAATATTCCCTTGCAAACCCCATTTCATTTTGATCACTTAACTCATCAGTCTTCAATATCTGGGTTAATCGAAGATGTTTCAAAATGCTAGAATCCACCAAATGATCAAACCACACCTCAGTTAGCCTGCAATCCAATGCAGCCAGATCACTCAAGGAGAAAATGAGTTAACACGATGGGGGTGGGGTCAACGGTCTCATCCATGAGTGACCCACAGTGCCCACTTACCTGCTTGATCTGGTGCAGCCTGGAGCTGGGGATGCGGATTGGAGAGGAAGGAACCTGGACAGAAACATAAGGAGGTGGGAACACAGGAACAAGCAAGTTAGAGCCAAATCTTTCAATTAACCTGAGTATGAATGGCAGCCAATCCGAAATACCGCATGGAAAGGCTGCAGGTCACTGTTATTTAGGATTTCCAAATCACCTTTATGGGCTGTAGGTTAAATGAGGGCAAACTCATTTCCAGCACAGTTCTGCTTTCAATTGCAACCCCCCTGCCCTGACTGGCCTAATAAGCAGTTAATGACATTTCTACAAATAAACTGGACTTAGATGAACATAAGTTGCAACTGTACTTTGGAACGAATTAAATGCTACATCAGAGCTTCATCTGGACTAGAGGCGGAAGATAAAACCAGCAGGAACAGAAGTGTGACCTTCGTATGGTTCACAGAACATGAACACCAGGACTGCAACACCAGAGCAGAGCAGAGAGATACGGCTGGATGTAAACATTAACAGCGTCTTTCCTTCCATACCAGGCTGGGACGATTCACCACTGTGGTGCTGTTTCTCCTGCTCGGATTGATCTCCCGATGGAAGACTTGAGAGTGGTCACTGTGGGGAAAAGAGGCCGGCCATTTAACTAATACAAGACAAGACGCTCAAAATCACGTATAGTAATTTTAAGATAACGTCACTAACAGCATTGTTTAGTGAACCGATCGGGTCCACTCTAGTTCAATAAGAGGTTCATAGTCTTCCACTTTCTACCAGGAGGGTGAATGATGTCACACTAGATATTCCCTAAGTAATCTTGGTGAGACTTTACTTGATGGGACACATAGTATTATACTCTTACTTACGTATCAATTAACCACAAACTAAGTCTTAGTTACATACTGATCTCATGTTAATTCATCATTAATGAATCATAACGTATGGCTTATCTCTTAATTCTTTATTCAATAAAGCTTTGTGAAATACGGAAGGAACGACAAATTAATAACACAAGTTAAATACTGATCTTATAATCATTACTGAATCATGATGCATTTTTCATCCCAACTAATTACTATATCTGTTAATAAATCTGCTAATTCTGTAATAATTATGTTCATAATTTGTCACTTGTACTTCAGCAGTAACTGACTATTACTAAGTATTTGTGCCCCGTCAAGTAAAGCGTTACGGGAATCTTTGTGGATAGAGAAAGTGGGTAGAAAATAAAAAACAATCGCCGAGTTATCGCCGTCTTTCCATTTTGATTATGAAACTGGAAATTAAGCACAATAAACAAACAAGTCAAACTATTGTATTCGGATGCAGAAGAAAATCAGGTCGCATCTTAACCTGAGTCCGTTTATCATGGGCGCGCTGTTGGACCTTTTCAGCAGGCTGTCCGTCTGGGCCATCGGTGACGGGATCTCCAGGTCTAGCTCCATCCTCTCATGCGGCACCACGGCGGAGCTGTTCATAGATGCCGACATCCTCCCGTACCCGGTCCCCACCCCCCGGACTCGTGCTCCTACTTGGAAGCTGAACTCTACACTGCTCTGTGGGTCGTGTGTCAGCGGCCGCGGCCGAGCTTAGACCGAGGGCTCCGCGGCTCCCAGCGTGCGCATGTCGCGGACAGTGCAAACTATCAATCCGGCCGTGAATCGGAAGCAGGCTTCAGTGCATCTGGTCATTTTTGAGACGCGGGTCGCGGTTTCTGTGGAGGGCTGCGGCCGGTGACCATCTCTGATTGAAGCCTGTAGTACCGAGAAGGGGACACGCCACCGAGGCGGTCCCTTAAATGCATTTCTGCATCTGTAACCGGATTGATTTCTGCATCGTTAACATTACCGAGCTCAACGTTAGCCTAACGGTATTCCTAAGCCCTAGCTAACAGATAACTAACCACCACTTTCTCCTTCCTGAGTATGGCCCTCCCAGCGCCACTGTAATGATACCCAAAAGATAGCACCAACTCGGAGTGAAGGCTGATTCCAACAAGTCTCCAGTCATAAATATAACCGGCTGATGGCTATGAATAACAAGTTAACTGCCAAAAATCGACAGGAGTAAAGCTGAGAGCATGTAAACGATGTACATCTTACCCAGACTATTAAACAAGTGATAAGCGACGCGACTGCTTTACAACTGCTGGTGCTGGAAAACCACTGAAAGGCGATAGTTAGCTGGGTAGCTAGTCGTGTATTGGAAGGTTTTGCAGGTTAGCAACCCTCGCAAACTCCAGGATTTCTCCCGCCTCCGGTGTACCGCCACGTTTGCGTGCCCAGAAATCGATATCTAAAAATAAAATTAATTATTTCGTTAATGTTCTCATTTCAATATTCTGGTCGCCGCTATGCCTGTCGCTACCGCAAGACTCCTGGATCAACCAAACTTCCCGCCCCCTCTCCAGCCTACTCGTCTGAATGACGGCACGATACTCCAATGAGGACGCGAGAAACTGTTGGCGTGTACGTTTCAAATGGCACTGATCATCCAATGAGAGACCGAGCTATTAGCGACTTCCCGGAGATGTTTCATAAAACCCACCCCCTCCCAAACTCCCATCAATTTTCGCGTTTGAATCGGGCGTTTGCTTTCAGTTGAAATAGACTTGTTTACCATATGTCTATTAACATACTTTAATTAAGAAACAATATACTGCAAAGTATAACATGATGTATTACTTATTCAGTCCTGTAGTATGACTTGTTACATCAGCTGAATAATGCTGCGCTTTATCTAGCATGCATCTAGTAGTATATGTACATGCTGAAATCAGTAACCCCTCAATTTACATGCGCTGCATTTCTGCTTTTAGAATGCATTCGAATGTAGATATTATGAACATAATGTCATTGTAGACTATTATAACTAAATTTGGTCCAATTTTATTTTGTAAATAGTATGGTAGTTAGACGAAAGATGAACGACGTATCTACACTCAGTGACCAGAAGAGGGCAGTGGTTCCCTTTTTGGTAATTTAGGTAATACCTATGTGTCCATTTCCGACTATGGAAGTGCGCACACATTTATCTGTATATAATTTATATCATGATATTCTTAATACGGCTAGGGTGGGGTTTTCTGAGAGCTGAGTTAACACGACTAGTTAAACCAAAGTTATTAGTGATATGCCGTCAACCGCTCACCCCACATAAACACACTCTTAGTGACATCCGATTGGTCCCCTACACACTTAAAATGGTAGTTATACAAGATTTTCATATCGTTCTGGTGGAATGTGGGGTAAATCTTACATAAGCCCGTGTTATAATATGCAGAAGGTGGCCCATCCTCCAGATGTGATGGCAGGTGCTGCAAAAGCTGCTGGTCACGTGTCATTAGTCTGTAACATATTAAGTTAATGGGATCTGAAATGTGCCATTTGTTTAATAGGCACCTTGGCTAAGGCCGATTAAGTCCTCAACTGGAACAAAATCCAGCATGGGCAGCAATTACACAGGGCTGTGGATGATGAAGGCGTCCCTTGTCTTCTACCACAAAGTACTCGAAAGAATACAAAATAATTGTAATTACACCATTATCAATTTAATTTGATTTTGGAGAATATAGCTAGTGATATAATTAATTCCTGCCATTTTATTCATAACCATGATCATTAAAAAAAACACCTTTAGCCAGCATTCAACATGCGTGCATTTGACTTTCTTTTTAACGTGTAATTTAAAATCAGTTTTTTTTTCTGATGTCCAGAAGCCTTCTGACAGGATTTGGCCTTGTTGGTTTGTAGTAGGAAGAGGGATCAAAAAAGTGGTCTCTTCTCTCAGAAAAACAGGTGGGGGAGGTGTGCGCTCCTGGAGAAGTGGTGAGAATACTTTCAGACTCCAGCATGAAACTGCACGCTTTGCCGATTCACCCTCCTTTCATTTTGCATGACTAGCAGGTGTTTACACTGTACGGCAATGAAGGCACATTTGATTAAGAACCTTTGAAGGAAAAATGGAGCCAGGACTATTTTTGTCCCAGCCACTGATGTCCATTTGGTACTTGGGCTTGTTCGGCTGACATATTGTTTTGCCACTATTACAAGTATCTCTGCCGGAGGTAACATTAGCTTAATCCTAATGTATCAGATCTGGCTATAGACGGCATCAGAAACCCCTAAACATCTCAGCGCCATTATACTCCATCTATTGCTTCACCCAGCTCTTGTTGTGAGTTTCAGGCCAAATCACGTGCTATTTATAGTGCTTTGCAAGGCTGTCCGCCCGCTTGGCTGTGAACAATGTCTCTTTTCTCGCTGCCTAACGAGAGATACGAGCAATGCAGCCAGGTGACTGAGAGGTCACTTTGTGTGTCTGGTGGATTCCTGCTAGCGCCGATTGGTGCAAATCCACGTGAAGACGCTGATTCTGGCTACTCCTTCTTCCTGCTCTTGGAAGTAATATTATAGAGCTGCAGATGAATGTTTTAGCTAAATGCTTTTTAGATGTACTAACTTTAAATGGTTTTTAGCTGAATTCCCCTTCTCAATAATTAGAATAACTACAGGTAGGGAAGCTGCTGCGGTTGAGGTGAATTTAACTTCCAAATAATTTCTTCCATTATGTTCCCTGTTTCGTTCCGCCGGCACCCTGACAGGTAGACACAGAGCTGTGGACGAGGGACATAAATAATTCAGTGACCCCCTTTGGGTCTGATGGTCACACACCAGCTAATATACAGCCGTAATGTTGGCGGACAAATGACACACAGTGTTGAAACATACAATGACAGGTGGGTGTAGGAATATCACACTTCACTGTGTCATGGGTTCGGAAGTCATCTAAAATAACAACTTTCACCTAAAGGCCCTTCTACATAAGAAACTGACCAAAGCTCAGCATAATTATTGCAAGGGCATGATTTGTATGTGTGCTTTTGAGAAGAAAGCTCTTTAAAACTCCTTCTTCTTCTTATTCTCCTTATTCTTCATACCATTCCTCTTTTTTCTGTACTTCTTTGTGTCCACTCTAGCAGACGATGCGATGCTGCATTTTTGGCATCTCGGTACGGAACATGGTGAAAAGCACAGACGTTAATTGCCTTGTTGCCAGCCCATGACCCACACAAGAGGAAGGAAGTTGAGTGATTTAAGCAGTTCTCTTCATGATGTTTACTACTTAGTGTAGCTGCTAACCGCCCAGTGTGACTCACCACATGCATGTATTTCCTAACATTCTCCAGAAATCTATATAACCATCATTTCTACTGCTGCAGTTACACTCAAACAAATTTTAACTGACAGCTTCAATTTGTGAGATTACTCCTGTTACTCCGATTTATTTATCAATATTTTAAAACCAGATTATTGCCATGGTTGCCAAATGGGTGTACTCTTAATTTAACAGCTGTGTCTAATCATATTTGTACAGCATCATCATTTTTGACACATAATACTGACATATTGTTACATAAGAACATAAGAACATAAGAAATTTACAAACGAGAGGAGGCCATTCGGCCCATCAAGCTCGTTTGGGGAGAACTTAGCTAATAGCTCAGAGTTGTTAAAATCTTATCTAGCTCTGATTTAAAGGAACCCATGGTTTTAGCTTCCACTACAATAGCAGGAAGACTATTCCATACTCTGACTACACGCTGTGTAAAGAAGTGCTTCCTCAAATTTGTTTTAAAATGTTCTCCCGCTAATTTCCACTTATGGCCACGAGTTCTAGTATTTAGACTAATATTGAAATAGTCATTTGGCTGAACGGCATCCAGACCCGTTAGAATCTTATAGACCTGAATCATATCCCCCCTTAGTCTCCTTTGCTCAAGGCTGAACAGATTCAGTTCCGCTAACCTCTCCTCGTAAGACATTCCTCTAAGACCAGGAATCATTCTCGTAGCTCTTCGTTGCACCTTTTCTAAGGCAGCAATGTCCTTCTTGAGGTATGGTGACCAAACCTGCACACAGTATTCTAGGTGGGGTCTTACCAAGGAATTATATAAGTGTAACATCACCTCCCTTGACTTAAACTCCACACATCTAGAGATATAACCCAACATTCTGTTCGCCTTTTTTATTGCTTCCCCACATTGGCGAGAGTGGGACATGGAAGCATCAACATACATACCGAGATCTTTCTCGTAATCAGCTACCTTTATTTCAGTGGAACCCATAAAATATCTGTACTGTATATTTCATACAACTGGTTGATGTAAATATGTCAACTGCCTAATTACTATATACATTTGTTTTTTCAAGGTCACATTCAGGTCATCGGCAATTTCGACAGATTTAATCCAAGGACATAGATCCTATCATGTAATGATTACAGGTTTTTAATAAAGTAGAATCATATGAATGCTGGTTTGCAGTCATCTCACACCTCTGGGGCAGCAGGTTTGTGTCTGACTCCAGATCTGTGCTTATGTTCTCCATGTGTTTGCATGGATAAAGATTCCTTTGTTCTAAAACCCAGTGATATATGGCAGTGTTTCCCAATCTGGTCCGTGGGGACATGCAGCCAGTCCAGGTTTTTTCTCCTTCCCAGCTATGGAGCTGGGTAGGAGCAAAAATGTGGACTGTCTGGCAGGGAACTGGAAGGGAGCAAAAACATGGAACTTATGTGGCTTCCTGAGGACCGGGTTGGCAAACACTGATATATGGTTCAAAAGGATTGGTTTCTGAAAAATTACTCTTCCTGGGTTTGGATCAAGAAGGGGCTCTTGCAAATGAACGGAGTCTTATATTTGCAATAAGTATAAGGTTACCACAGTATTAGCACTTTGAATTCCTGCTGACCTATGCCACTTTCGTAGTAATTTGACTTGAATGACATCACTGGGGTATGAGGTCACCGTATGTTAAAGCCAAATTGCTGAGGCACATTTTCACTACCGCAGCATGTGACTGGCTTCTAAATCCCAAAGAGCTGGCCTGCATCCAACCTTTCGAAAACCTTCTGGGAGATAATTGTAGGTGCACATGTAACGGGCTAATTTTGGGAGCAGCCCCGAATGGAGGATGTCAGATTACGGAAAATGATATGGTTGTGGCCAGCATTGTAGCTCGATGATGTTAGTTCCTATGTTGGCTGGATTAGATCTTTTCACATTCAGCTCTGAGGAAACTGTGAGCTCGCATACAGACAAACGCGGCCCAGACGCTCACCATCACGCGGACAAACGCGGCCCTGACGCTCACCATCACGCGGACAAACGCGGCCCTGATGCTCACCAGCACGCGGACAAACGCGGCCCAGATGCCCACCAGCACGCGGACGAACGCGGCCCAAAAAAAACATGCAAGTTAACATAAGAAATACCCACTGATATTCTTCCTATGGCAGGATTTGGAAACACGTTCTGGACTGATGCCCAGAAAACAGAAGTCGAATAAATATAAAATCAAATAAATACAAATAATCGTTGTCTATAATTGTTATTTTACAAATAAAATGCATTTGCTTAAAGATGAT